TCACGCCTTCACTGTTACAATTTGTACCGTGCTTATTGAGATGTAGTGTGGTGTGCTCCTTTGAGCGGCATTCATGAAAACCATTCACACTGCACTCTGTCGTTCTCACCCCTTTCATCAGAACTGAGCCATTAATTTCGACCGTTACTAAGGAAATTGAATATGAAGGTGATAACAAAGGAGAAGAAAACACTTTTCACCAATCTGCTGACGCAACACGAGAAGACTGACAAACTTGAATGTTTGGGAGTTTATCGCATCAAATACGGAAGCTATGAGCAGAAGTATATCGGTGTAACAGGAAGAAAAATCGGCCTACGAATCAAGGAGCATCAAGGACTCTGCAGGAATATGGATACGAAAAGATCCGAAATAGCGGAACACATTGCACGAACAGAGCACGAAATCGACTGGAAATCGACCGAACGGTTGGCTGCATGTGGTGAAAATCCGAGAGGCGATCGAAATACTGACCGAGAGAGATCTAATGAACAGGAGACTTGAAGAAGACAGGATCAGTGAAAACTTTGTATATTGTCTAAACAAGCTCGGAGAAGACCATGCAACTGCAGAATCAGCAAAACGAAGACGACTGGATCAAGTTAATATCCTTAATTTTAGGAAATAAGATCGAAAGGGGACGAGAAAGAAACAATCGGAAGCAAAGAGAAGACGTCTTCAGTAAGCCTAAGGACAGAAGGGGAGATACCACAACTGTTTAGCAACCGTTTGGTCAAAGGATCGGCTTCACTTGTCTCTTTAACGAGTTGTTGTGTGGTGTTAGGAATGGCGAGATTCACTGACGATGCCGGCGAAACGTCTGCGAGTCTACCACGTCCACGGTTCGAGTTTGGAAATAATCATGAATACAATGGACTCCGGACTAGGTGTGTTCCTCTAAGTCTGACTACCAATATGACCAAGTTGCGAAGACAAGGTCAAAATGCTTCTATGCAACGAAAGGAGACTGCGATCACATACACTTGTTCTTTGTTTTGTTAATTTTAATCGACTACCTGATCTTTTGCTTAGCTGTGAAGTCCCCATATCCGGCAAAACGTTGGGATTTATACCACTCTATTTGGTGTACTGTAGCCACTGTAGCCACTTCAGCCACTTCAGATTTCTTAAACCATAAACCGTTGCAGGAGATTCTGTGTTCTGATGGCCTTTTATGTATGGGTCAACAAGTTTCCCCCACATAAACACTACCAGATGAGCGCAAAACTTTATAACAACCTGATCTGCAGATTCTCTAGAAGAAGGCATAATCGAGGAAAACATTATTGTTTCTTTATACATTGTCTTGGCACTCCAATTCCTCAATAATTCGCCTATCCTTCTAAAAAGCTTGCAGAATAGTAGCATTTGGAACATGGACGAAGAGTTGTCTAATTCCTTGTTTTGGTCAAATTAATGGTTTTCCATCACCCAATTCATCAATATTTTGAAATTGTTAACAATTAATCCTACCAAAAAATTGTGCTCAACTAAGATTTTTCTTGACCTTTCTAATTCCTGTTATTGATGATTCACGTCCGCTAGACGTAAACTCTTTATTATCATTGATTTAATTTCGCCTAGCCTCACACCATAAATATGTTTCGAGAAGAAATTAGGAAGGAATCCAGTATTTGTGGGTTTCCTATATACATCTCTACCTAGTTTGTTCCCTCCCCACTAACTAGGAGGTCTAAAAATGGTGACGAATTGTCTTTTTCTAACTCCATAGTGACTTTAGTCGTTGTACAAGCATAAGTCAGCCAACCAAATCATGGAATGGCTCATTAAGATCGCAAAGTGAGGTATAAGAAGTAAGTAGTATCTCAGCTGGCTACCTTTCTCGGGTTAGTGTTTTCTAATGATTTTTCGCGAATAATGGTTTCTAGCTCTGACGATGTTCATCAAAGGACGTTCGAAAGCTTATCAAGGAGTCATCGGAGTCGCAAGACGTTGAGCAGAGGTTTTCTTTGCACAACTCAACAGACAAAATTCCAGACCAACCCTCCTGCGGTATCTGATGAAGCCAATCTATGAATCCCTTAGACCTGCTTTCTCAAACGAAATTAAAGATAAGCCAGTATCTTTCCGCTTGAGTTTCGTCAAAGTTTCTGACAAGACAGAATGACTCTATGGCAGCCACAGTTTTAAGAAATGAAACCTAGGATCCCTTTACTAAAAAGTGGAATAATTGACATTCTTTTTTCATTTATAGTGAAAATGTTGCAAATATTAGCCCTCCACTCATTAGCTCAAACCGGCAATACGCGGAATAAAAAATATCTCACAAGACCTAAACAATCTTTTTACTTTCGATGTAGGCGAGCTAAATAGCTCAAGTAATTAAAATAGTGTAAATCTTGGGTTGAATTTTCTCAAATTGCAAACGTCTTTATCGGCAGATTTATGCCTTGTCTATAGAGGGGAACTTTTAATAATGGCCTTATCTGCAGTAGTGGAATTTGGGCTTTTTTTGATGGCATGGGATTGTGCAGTCGCTCAGGTTCTATTCATAGTTAAATTATCATACAAAAGTATATACAGATGTATGTCCAGGTTTCTCTAAGTTATGAAAAAGCAATTAAACGTGAGTTAGAACAGAGGCTAGGCTATATTTTAATACCCATGCACACAAGCTCACAGAAATATTCACATGCAAAAATGAATTAGCCAAATAATTTGTCAAAAGTTGTTTGACCTTGCTTCCGCAGCTCGGTCATATTGACGGGAAGACATAGAGGAACTCAACTTGCCCGGAGTCCATAGTATGCGTGATAATTTCCATTCAGACCGTGGATTTGGTACATTCCCAGGCGTTTCGCCGGCATCCTCAATGAGTCTTGCTAGTCTTAGCACCACACTACAACTCGCCAAAGAGGCCAGTGAAGTCGATCCTTTCTCCAATTGTCTGCAAAACAGTTGTAGTATCTCTCCTGCCCTATATCTTCGTACCATCCCTTCAATATCACACTTTCATGCTTGTATATCTAAACCTATTCACACTCTACGCTGGCTTCCACATCCCTCTCACCGTGCCGAGAGTGTTGATCCAAGGCAGCGGTTTGAACTTCAATCCTCTCCCTTCGGATCACATCACAGTCATCCTCTTGCTCAGTAGAATTCTTCCATTATCCGCCTGTTTCAATGTTTTCATTCTACCCCTGCCAAGGTATCCGTGCTACTCTAGGCGTTATGCTCAAACCTTCGATATCACGTATACTCAGCCTCACTAAGCAAGCCTTTAAAGTCTGGATTCTTAATTGGCAGGGCAACCGATTCTCTTATCACTGTGCGGCATGTGCACCGAGTACATTTTGTGGTCAAGCCTTTATTTCATGGACCACGTCTATGAGCAAACTTATCTACTTATAGCTAATTATCAATGCTCTAATTGATTTGAATAGGCGCACTTTAGACGTCTCCTCTTGCTTTCCGATTGTTCCTCTCTGATCTTCTTGCAATTTATTTTCCTGAAATCAAAGATGTTATCTTTGAAAAGAGGGCTTTATTGCTTATTAATTGTTGAGCTTACTTCCATTTTGACTAAAAGCGTTTGGTGAAGATATTCGAAGATCGGTTCCAGCAAAAGACGATGGCGGACTCCTTTTGACCGGCAGTCGATTGGCTTTACTGGAACATTCGAATTTACGCTGCTATCGAGACAATTTTATTTGATTCCGGTGAAGACGTGCTAAGCTTTCGTCCGTAGTATGATGAGCATCATCGGAGCAGGGTATCATCCTTACAACTAAATTGAAGCTAACGAGTCAAGAAAACTCACCGGCTCATCCGTAAAAAGCTGTATATATACTCTATATCTGACCTCTTTAAATTAATAAATTGGTTTGGTTAGTTCCAGTCATATATCAACTTTGAAACATGTGAATGTCTGTCTCTGTGTGCGTATGCGTCTGTATCTGTTCGATATGTATGAAACCAGCAATGATGGCTCAAATAATTAGGACAACGAAAGTAACTTCTATTCTCGGCCATCAACGTTTGATGCCCACCATCACCCCCTTTCTATATTTATATATGTTTTAGCCATCACTCTGATTGCACAAGGTCGGACACACGTCTGGTTATGTTGATGAGCGTTTTTTTGTCTTTATGTTAGAAAGAAAGAAGCATAATAAGAACAGACTAGTTGAGTCGCCTCCTTTCTGCAGGCGGCTCAACGCCCTCTATAGTTTTGAGTCTATTAATTAAGCACAAGTGATTTTGACTTGACTCCTTGCCGGTATTCTTTAGATTCAATGTATTGCCTATTCGGTTTATTTAGATGGCCTCTCTAATTGCATTTATTTAGCTTAAATGGGGTTGTAAGGATGATACCATGCTCTGATGCTGTTCGTCAAACGATGAATGAGAGCTTAGCACGTTTTCACTGGAATCAAAGGAGATGACCTCGGAAACAGTGTCGACACGAAGGTTCCAGTAAAGCCAATCGACAGTTGGTCAAGAGGAATCCGCCGTTGACATTTGGTGGGAGCAACTTTCGAATTTCTTCACCAAACACTTTCACTCGAAATGGAAGTAAGCTCAACAATTATGTTACCTATGTCAAGTTGTTTTAAATTTCTTTTGATATTCCTGTTCCCTGAGCTTCTCCGAGTTTGCTTAGTCAGTATGCAAAGTTTTCGCTAATCCTGCTTTCTTCAACTTTCCTGTTCATTGGATTTCTTTCAGTCAATATATTGATGGCTTCATGTATCTTGCATTTTCTTCTATTTTCACCATATGCAGCCTGCCTTTCTGTCGACTTCCACTGGATTTCTTTTCCCGTCCGTGCGATGTGTTCCGCTATTTCGGATCAATCGCTCTCCATGTTTCTGCAGAAACCTTGCTATTCTTTGATTCATAGGCTAATTTTTCTTCCTGTTCCACCAATATACTTCTGCTCACAGTTGCCGCATTTGATGCTATCGACTCCGGAGCAACCCAGTTTATTAGCCTTCTCGTGTTGTGTCGACAGGCTAGTGAAGAGTGTTATCTTTTCTTTTGCTATCACCTTGATATTCCACTGTTTTGTCAACGTTCGCAATTTTTCACTCGGTCCACAGCAGGGCAGACATATATACATTTTTGGCCTTCATATCGATTCCTGATCTTATTTTCATAAAATCCTAGTTCCAACCTGCTCTTTATGACACCAATATTTCTTTCTATGATTTCTCTGGGGTATTCGTCACTAAGGCAACTATGAGTGAGTTTCTCCAACTCCTCGTTCCAGAACTCAGTGCCGTTAGTCTTAAACTTTTAATGTTCATATTCCTCATCATTTCGTTCTTCAGCCTATATTTGTGATGAGACTGGAAATTAAGGATTATTCTCGCATGTGATTTCTTTCGAAATAGACTCCTCTTTAATATTCCTGGAAGGGTAATCTTTTTTTCTTTTCCACCACCATAGCGAATTTAATTCTTCCATCAAGTTAATCTATAAAATCGAGGAACTCATCCAAATTAATTTTACCATGCGACCAAAGTGCAAAGTAGTCGTCCAGGTATCGCAAAAGCACTCTTGGTTGCAGCAGTGACTACTCGAATTCCTTCTCCAATCTGTCCACGTATACATTTGTCTAAAGTTGGTGAGAGTAGAGATCCCATCGGTAGTCCAAATATTTGCTCATAGATATTGCCGTTGATTGTAAAGCATGTGGTGTTTACTGTCAGGTTGATTAGTCATGTTAACGACTTCTTCCGTATCCGCTCTGCTTCCACGATATCCTCCTCTCGTTCCAAGACCTCCAGCAGAGCGGTGACTGCCTTCTCGCCTGATATGTTTGTGTACATGGATTGTATGTCAAAATTTACCAACATTTCCGCCCTGCAACTCTAATATTTTGGATTCTTTGAGAAAATTCATATAAATTCTTAATGGCATTCGAGAGTCTAACATTTAGTGTCTTGAGCTTCAAGCAAATGAATTTCGCTAGTTTGTGTGTAACTCCAAGCTTGTTGATGACTCTTAATCTTAGCGGATTTACTTCCTTGTGTATTTTCTGTAGTTCGTAAGCTGTCGGCGGTCTTGCGTTATTTTTGATTAAATATTTCATCATCCATCTATCATTTTCCCCATTCGTATGCATTCCTTTTTGCATATACTTCAGTGTTCCGTTGATTTTGACTCGTTAGCTTGAATTTGGTTGTGACGACGATACCTTGCTCGGATGATGTCCGTCATATGACGGACGAAAGCTTACACCTTTGCGCCGGAATCGAAGGAGATTGCCTCGGAAACAGAGTCAGCATGAATCTTCCAGTATAGCAAATCGACTGCTGGTCAAGAGGAATCCGCCGTCTTCTTCTGGTGGAATCGACCTTCGAATCTCTCCACCAAAAATTTTTACTCAAATTGGAAGTAAACACAACAATTACGAAACAAGAGATTCCTCGAAACCCAACTTTTATTGTTGGCTGTTTTGTTAATTTCTATAGACTCCCTAATCTTATGCTTTGACAGGAAGTCCCTGTAATCCGCAAAACGTTGTGTTTAGGACCAGTCTATTGAGTGTCCTGTATTGACCATGTATTCAGAGAGCTTAGATTTTTAGACCAACAGACCTTTACAAGCAGTTTTGTGTTTGCATGGTCTCCTGTGAATGGGTGAGCAGGTCCCCCCACATATATCTTGCTACATGGGCAAAAGACTTTGTATCAGAAAGAGAGTTTAAATATTCTCTAAACGAAGGAATTAATGAAGCAAGTGTTAATTTCTCTTTATACATTGTTTTTATGTTCCATTTCCTCATTAGTTCACCAAACTTTTTCGCAAGCTTACAGGAAGGCAAAATCAGGAACTTAATATAATTTTCTAGTTGTCTATCTCGCACCTGATAGAGTACTCCTCTTATCTTGTAGATATGAAGAGAAAGTTGGTTTCGATGAATCTCATGAGATAATATTGTTAGGGGGAACTACATTTGGAATGAAAATGCATGAAGAAGAGATTAGTTGGTCGACCTCATGCACTTTCATTCGAAATGAAGGTCCCCCTAATAATCCTTTTATCTTGTTAATGACAATTTATATTCAACAATCATAGGAGTCCTTTAATAAAAATTTCCAAGAATATTCCTCGATGTACCAATCTCCTGGTCCCTATAATTTGCATCTGCTAGACGCAGACTCCTATTTTTACTTTATATGTATGATTTGAGAATAAATTAATAAGGAAACCCGCGTGAGTGGGTTTCCTATATACGTCTCTACCTAAATTATTACCTTCTGTGCTCACTAATACATCTAAAAAAGGCAATTTATTTTCCTTTTCTAACTCCATGGCAAACTTAGTATTTCCATCTATTCTATTTCATTTTTCTCAAGGAACTCCCCAAAACTATCTTGGTCATGCTGCCAAATAGCATAGTAATCGTCCATATGGCGAACAAATAACTTTGGATCTGGGAGTGTCTCTTGAAACACGCGAACTTCTAATTGTGTCATGTAGTTA